CTCATCTCTTTAAGCTGGTTTTGCAGAACTGTCTATTTGCTTTTTGCTTCTTCACACTGTGTAGGAAGTGATATTTATAGCTTCCTTGTGGATACATGTATGCGGAACTGTTAACGGGAAACATAATGGGCAACAGAATTTGCAGACCACATCAATTTAAAACAGTGTATATGGTCTCATATGATGCAGAACTCAATAAAATGATTTAGGATGTCAAAGGAAACGCTGTCCAGCTGTGACCACTGCGGAAGGAGGGAGGAGGAAGTTCACATTTACAAATGCTAATAGGTTTCACTATATTGCACGAACTCAGTCATAAACAGAACAAGTTTATAATGAGTTTCTGTATTAGATATCAAAGTAGTTCAGCATTCACATTTCAACTTACATATGTTTGTATACGCACACAGAAAATCCATTGAGGGTCATACTAAATTGTTGAACACACATTATATTTACCTCTGGGTCTGGTTACATACATAAATGTGAAGCATGTATGTTGATGTGCTTATTACAAACTAGGTCTGCTTACCATCTTCATATATCTTCTTGATTATCATGAGCAGTGAGAGAAACATTATGGGAAATGTGAGTGTTAAAGCTAAACTATTTGTTGATATAAAACTAAGTTTAACCGAGTTTAATAATTTGTTTCAGTTGGGTTGAACATAGGGCTAGCTGACAAAACAATAATTATCACAATTTAGTCTAGCAATACATATCGGCATAATGCAAAAGCATCGTGTGAGCACAGAGAAGAGGTTTAACACATAATTGATGTACCTGATGTCAAATGTTTTGTTCTGTTCATCAAGCTGTCAGACTCTTTAAAGGTTCAGTGTGTAGGATTTAGGTGGACGGGAACTATTGGCAGAAATTCAATGTAGAATAATTCTCATGATGTTTTCACTAGTTCATTTCATCTAAATTGTATGAATTGTAGTTTCCTTTACCCCAGAAAAGTCCCTTTATATGCAAATACTTTATATTAACATCGAGGGGGTCCTCTCTATGGAGGCCGCCATGTTTTTTACATTAGTCCAGACTGGACAAACTAAACACCTTTTGAGTTTTTACAACAACTGAAGCTACCACAGGTTCTTTGTCATGTTTGGAAGGAGAGGGTGAGGTGACGGGTGTTCAGCTGCAACATGCAACTTCAACACTAGAGATCACAAAATTCTACACACTGTACCTTTAACACATAATTGATGTACCTGACATATGTCAAATGTTTTGTTCTGTTGATCAAGCTGTCAGACTCTTTAACACCGTTCTGCCATACACCACATAGTTGCACTGCTCTGTTTTTGCACATTGGACTGTGAGAAAAAGCATTTCATTCAGCTGCATACTGTGCCTGTGAATGATTAACAAAGTGTTAGTTATTCTCTGACCATATTTTTCGAAAATAGGACGAGATGGTGACTAACCATTGTTATGTCAACGGGTCAGAAAGATGTCGTGTGCCCTCCAGCACGACAGGTGGCAGTACAGGCAGACACCATGAGCGTACACACGAGGTAAATGTCGTCACTGTTTTGGAGGAGTGTAAACAAGAAGATAAAGACGAGCACAGTGAGTAACATCCGAACTAACACTGACCTGTGTTAAACCAACTAAACTACAGCCACTGACTACGCTAACCAGCCTTAGTTGGTGCTAACTCGGCTAAAGGCTAACTAGACTTTCAGCGAACGATTTCAGCGTTAGCTTGTATAGATAGCATCAGCAGCTAGCTCTTCAATCAAGCGTCTGTTATCTCATCCCACGAGACCACTGAACTCACCGCACAACACATGACAACACCCTGGCTAATGTTTCACTGAGGCGGTTAAACATCGGTTGCACGAAGCTGGATGATAAGTAAGCTCGGGGGTGTTATTAGCCTCTTCAGAAGCGATAGTTAGCTCAGTTTGTCTCCAGAGGAGGGAAAGGTAAGACAGGTTCGTGTTTCCTCTGCGCTGCTTCCAAGATGAAGTTAGTCCTCACCTTGAGCTTTGTTTTAACTTCATTTCAGTCCCACGGATTGACACATCTTTCTTTGTTTCAGAAATGCAGTCTGCGGTTAAACAAAACCTCCACGGGGAGACTGAAGGAGACGTCAACAAGCTCATCAACCTGAAGCTCAATGCGTCCTACACCTACCTCGCTCTGGTACGAATTCATGTCTTGTGTGATCACTCTTAATTGTTTTGTAATGTGAACTGCTGGACGTTGCCCTTTTTGCTTCACTGTTTTTTCTTTTCATCTAATCCTGCACATGTGTGTGTGCATCTTTTAGGGGATGTATTTTGACAGGGATGATGTAGCCCTGCCAAAATTCTCCAGCTTCTTCCTGGAGCGCTCGGTGAAGGAGAGGGAGCAAGCCGAGAAGCTGCTGGAATATCAGAACATGAGAGGAGGCCGTATTTTGCTTCAGACTATCGCTGTAAGTCCAAAATGTTTGGCCTTGACTATTGAGTTTGTTGAGAACATTTGCGGATCCTGTTTAATATCAACTTTTCGTGTTCCAGAAACCAAGTAGAGAGGATTGGAGAGGTGGCCTGGATGCAATCTCCTTTTCCCTCGACTATCAGAAGACCCTCAACACATGTATCCTTGACGTGCACCGCAGAGCTGGCAGCCACACCGACCCTCATGTACGTCTGGCTCTGTTAGATAAAACTGCCATTTCTCCTAAGACTGTTGTTGAGCAGCAAGATTAGGAAACTGATGCACTTCTATACATGGAAAATACTTGTGTGTCAAGTAATATAAGTCCGGAAGCTTTTGAAGAAAGTTTAATAGTATATTAAATATTAACTGCGTCCTAATGTGACTACCTTCTTATAGACTGATTTCACGTCTTACTCACTTTGTTTTGTTTTCCCTCTTTTGTAGCTGTGTGACTTCCTTGAGCAGCACTTCCTCACTGACAGCCACGAGACCATCAAGAAGCTGGGTGACTATGTCGGGAGTCTGACTCGCATCACTGCGTCCGAGACACATGGCCCTATGGGAGAATACCTCTTTGATAAACACACTCTGTAAAGGTCACAGCAGTACAGTGACACAAGCTCCACAGTGTAACAATCTCTCGCTGTGTTTTTTTCCGTTACAAGTATAACTAATATTTTAACACTTGACCTAAACTTCATTCTTGTATCAAAGGCACAAGAGAAGTTCAAAAGCAAAATGACATAAAATACCTCAGTTTTCCTTAAACCTCAGTGAAAAAATCTCTGGTGCTAAAAGCTACTATTTATCACTTGTTCATTTAGACTCTATCATGTGTCATGCATTCCACTGTCAGAGGTTTCAAGCTTCACAGTTGTTTTTTTAAAATTCATAATAAAGTTTGCCAATCAAAATCAATTCACAAAATGGTGTAAAAATTTAGATGAATATGGAGACATTTAATAAAGTCAGATTTTGCTCACACTGTTTTTTGTCGATCTTTTTTTAAAAGACAGTTGAACAGTTAATGTCTAACTGTTCAGACATATAGTCATCTGATGTGTTGTGCAGTCTATATATACTATCTGTGCTTTCCATAATAGCATGTCTGGCTATAGAACACTATAAAGATAACAGCAGAACGTTGCTTAGTCACCATTGGGTGGTGGGGGTTTAATGTTAAACATTGAGGAACCAAAGTGCCTGTGGTTCAAAATGCCCATGCTGCTTCTTAGTAAATTACAAGTTTCAGGAACGATAACACGCAGTTTCAGAGGTGTAAACAGATGACATCAGAGTCAAGTGTATTTCCTATTTTACTCAGCAGTGTGTGGTTAAAAATGCTCATGTAAATTATACATTTCAGCAAAGATAAGATGCAGTTGCAGAGGTGTTCAGACGACATCAGTCAAGTGTATTTTCTCTGTGATACAGCATCATAACATCCGCAATAAATTACATGAACTTTAAGAGAGTATAATGCAACCCAGAATAGCACATAGTCTGCCAAAGGCCCAATAGTCCCATTAAATTCAGTCATGCTGCAACAAATTGCAGATTCAGATATCAGCTCCTTAAATGTGTGATTTTTTTTCAAGATCCATGGTGGGACTGTCAATGTCCGTTTTCACAATGTCCTAACCTCCTTGACAGAGGTAACAAGAATAACATCTTTCCAAAAAATATATATAATATATATATATATAATATACATTATATTTCTAATATTTTTGCTCTTTTGGTAGAGTTTTCATTCCCCTCTGCTGTTTAATAAGTTGAGTTTAACCACTGAAATCTCCAGATGTAGCAGTGCAAACACGTAGCAGCGTGCCTGGGGATTACTCTTCACGGTGCTCTAAATGCGGGTATGTGTTCGGTACAGTAAAATGGTAAGCCAAGGGATGGGGAGGCTGGAATATCCACTCGCGATGCAAGTTGTTGGTAGATTGCCGATTGACTGCGAGGGCAGCTCTGGTGAGGGGATTAGTAAAGAGCCGGATGCACTACAATCTCTTCAGTCTAATGGACAAACGCAAGCACTGTTGCAATTCGTCATCAGTCTAATGAAGTTATTTTTGCTACTTGGACAAAAGCCTTTAACTGTTCAACATGTGTGATATTACTCACAGTGGAGCAATAAAATAAGAGCAAGGCGACTTTTGCTTTTCATGCATCTTCCTTCAGAGACGTGAAGCAACAGATGTGTTGTCAGCATTCTAATATCGGGAGGAGGGGTGGGGGGGATTAAATCACAACACTGCTCTAGTGATTTGCCAGCGCTTTAGCTTTGATGGAAAGGTTTGCAAAGAGCCAGTGAGAGTCAACGACTTAGTGAAGGGACGATGGATGCATGACGCAAAAGCAAAGCAACGAGAAAAACAATTAAAAGCTGCATCATCAGCTCTGTGGATATAGAGGAGATCACAGGAACATATCGACAGGTAAGATCAATATGTAGATTGTAAACTTGTAAAGTCTGTTATGATCATGTGCAAGAGCATCGCAAAAAAAAATTAAACCAATGAGAAAAGCTAGGCAAATAATTTTGTTTTTGAACACACCTACTTAAAAAGTGGTTGAACAGACTGGTTCTGTAGTTGTGAATAGTTTTCATATTTTTCTACGATTTTGAGCCCCCCCCCCCATTATATGACACTTAAATGTCACTTCATGTGCAGTATACTCTAAAAATGATGATTTTTTTTTTAATGTGGGAACAAATATTCATGTAAAACGCAAATAACAAATCCAGAAATCTGACCACAAAAGCTTCCTGGGCATCAAACAGTAACTGTTGGTGTGGAAAATTCAGGGGAGGAGACCAGCCCCTATTTATCTAAGCTTTGGGGATCTGGGATTTTGGATTAATATTGTTGTCCTGGCCACCAGATTTAAATCCAGTTACAAGCAGAGACAGTGACGAGAGAGAAGTGGGATGGGAGTAAAGGGGGAGTGAAAGCGTGGTTTGTGGGATGGGGGAGATGGCAGAGAGAATGAGTGTAACAGAGGGATTAGGGTCAGCCATGTTGAGCATCTGGCTTAGAGATGTCCTGTGGTCTTGTACTGTACTGCAACGCATGGACATAGGGATTACACAGCAAACATACAGAGTGGTGCTAACTCTCTCTGCACACCAAGCATCACAAACACAATGTGAACTAGAATCCATCATGGCCCTTAAATTCAATCATGCACCTTAAATTCAATCATGCACCAAATTATACAGATTATATCAGTCAATCGTCAAGATCCATGAATTATTCTCTAGGAAAATGGTAAATGTTGGAAAATGTCATATCTTGCAATGATAAAGAAATTGAAAAAAAAATCTGGATCCGCTCCAAACTTTGTCAGTCCACATCCTTCCACCAAGTTTATCTAACCGGTTTTTGTGGAATACCACTAACTAACAAATAAATGCAGATTAAAACTAAAAATAATAATAACTGCTCTTATTCTGCCATTTTCACAGCTGACATGAGGTTAGTCAGCACAGGGGTGCGGGCCCAGCGGGCCGCCGAGCCGTCTGAACCAGAGCCAGAGGAAGCGACGGAGCCGGTTCACCATGAGCACACTCATTCAGAGCACCACGAGCATTCCCACACAGAACATCACCCCGGACACGACTACAACCACATGAAAGAGAAGTTCATGAATGAATTTAGTCATCTGCCAAGTAAGCCACTTCTAGGAAATGAAACTGAATTTACTTTTTAAAATGAAGTATGTATCTTTGGGTAGGGGAGATCTATCCCTTTACAGACATCCAGATTTTTTAATATATTGCTATATTTGTTTTGAGTAGTTTAAACGAGCTTTTTCTGTTTGGCATTGATTTGTTTGCAAGATGTTGTAGATTTGATCACTGTTTTCCTTCTCTTTAACGACTACTGCTCTTGCTTGAATAAATCACTTAATGATAAACTGCATGACTGGTGTTGGTGGCTGTTGTTTCACAGGGCCACTCCTTGCTGGGAGTGTATTATTAACTGATTAAGGCAAGGCGGTTGCTACTGACCTATGTGCAGGCTCAGCAAACCCTCATGTGTCATGTTTTCCTGCAGATTTTATTTCGCATTAAGACCATGCTTCTTTTACCTAGCTTCAGAAAAGTAGTTTAAGTACAATGAAATAATTGGAACTGGTTTAGACTGACTCATCTGACTGGCTTTTATTCGACATACTCTCAAGATGTGAAAGATTTAAATCCTCCTGAAAATGACTGAATGTGTAAGACCAACAAGATTTTAGAGGGTAGTGTCTAAAAGTTGAGATATTTAAATTAATTTAAATACGTGTTTTTTGTTGCTATTGTTTGAATGTCAAGATTTTTCCACATTATATCACAGCATGTACTGTTAAAGTAAAGAACATTAGTTGATTAATCGTCCTCCTTATTACCTTGATAAGCATAACCCCAAATCTGGAAACTGAATATTGATGAGTTAATACGCTGATTTTTGTTTTGTAGTTCCCATGTGGGCAGTGGGAGCCATCGTTGTGGTGGTCCTGGTTTTGGTGGCATGCTTCATCTTCTGTGTATTCAAAAAATGCTTTGGGAAAAAGAAAAAGCCGAAGAAGGTGAGGGAGAGGAAGGCAGGTCGCATCAGAAAGACGAAGGAAGAAGGAGAAGCTGGAGAGAAGGTGATGTCTAGTAATCTATTACTGGAGATAATCTTACCCGATCTTTAAGATGATTATCCAAGGCACTGATGTTTTTATCTCGCAGGAGGGGGAGGTGAAGAAGGAAGGTGAGGAGGAGGAGAAAGAACAGGAAAAGTTGGGTAAACTGGAGTTCTCCTTGGACTACAACTTCACCGATTCCCAGGTGGGTCCTGTGTGAAAATAAAATAATTCATATTATTAATGAATGGAAGATGAATTCTTTGAACACACATTTCTTTTCCTCTGCAGCTGATAGTGGGCATCCTCCAGGCTCAGGACCTCGCTGCTATGGACATGGGGGGAACCTCAGACCCCTACGTCAAAGTATTTTTGTTACCAGACAAAAAGAAGAAGTATGAGACCAAGGTTCAACGCAAGAATTTATGCCCCGTTTTCAACGAGACTTTCATCTTCAAGGTGCCTGACATCGCGCCTGTGTCTACTTGGTGTCAATTGTGTTGTTGTGTTGTTCTTTTTCTTCTCTTTATGTCCACGTGTCACTTTTTGCCCCTCATGAGGAGAATGTCTCCACCTCCCCTCGTCTTTAGTCTTTCATTTCCTGAGTGGTGTCTGACAAGGTATCCCTCCCCCAAGATTGTTTTTAAATGTATCACATCACTATATGTTCTTTGTTAATGTCTGGATTTGCACATTTTGTCTGACGTAAACAAAACAGTCTCCCTGCATCTATTGTTAATCCCCATGTTGTAATGACCTCTCTTTCTAGATCCCGTACGCAGAGTTGGGTGGAAAGACTTTGGTGCTGCAAGTTTTTGACTTTGACCGATTCTCCAAGCATGACATGATTGGCGAGATAAAGATTCCCATGAACAGCGTTGATTTGGGTCAGCCAATACAACAGTGGAGAGACGTGGAAAGTGGTGAGAAGGAGGAGGTATGACATATAACGGTTTTGTTTCTCTTTGTTTCAATAATGCAAATTTAGAAGATAGATGTTTGGATAAAGAATTTGTAGATATATGCTGTAAGTCCTTGTCCCATCATATTCCCTTTCAGCAAGAAAAGCTTGGTGATATTTGCATTTCTTTACGATACGTACCCACTGCTGGGAAACTGACAGTGAACATCATGGAGGCAAAGAATCTGAAGAAAATGGATGTGGGAGGCTTGTCAGGTAAACTTGCCTTTTTGTTCTTTGTTCATATTTTCTCAGATGTTTCCTTCATGTCCGCTAAAATTGAGTACTTTAGCAAACATCTGTGACTTGAAGAAGTTATAATGTATTTCATTTATTTCCACAAGATCCCTATGTGAAGATCGTTCTACAGCAAAATGGGAAACGCATCAAGAAGAAAAAG